ATTCCCGAAATGGAAATGGATAACTCTGCGGAAGCAACAACAATGTCCAAATATGTTACCTCAATACTTCAAATACTAATAAGACGATGAAAGCTACAACCTACAATATCGCAATTTGATGTGATGTGAACAGAAAGGAAAGACCAACTACGTTCGTTGATCAAAAGAAATTACTATTTGGGCTCTCATTTTGCATGAAACTGATATACAATTAAACTCATATGAAGGTTAGGTTCCAAAATATGATTCAACCAATGATATCGATCAATCAAACAAATCCAAATCAAAATCAAGAGAAATATGAACCTCACCATTGTTAAACATAAAATTAAGCGGTTAAGTTGATCGAGAAAAAATCCCACAACCCGAACAAAGAGCGATGTAGAACGAATCTTCGTCCAAATTGAGCGATTTTTGAGTGTTAGGGTGAGGAGACGTTATTGTTCAAGCCCTAACTCGAAGATATTACAATGAATCGAACATGAAGTCCACAATGAAGACCTGCAGTCGAGAATCAAAACCAAACATCAAATTAAAGAGAAATCATGGAATCAACTCCCGCAAAACCCTAATTTGAAGAGAGATCGGGGAAATCGCAGAACTCTCCGGTCATTACTAATAGTTATTTATTATATACTTTTGATTTATTTAAAACAAAACCTTCAGATACGTTATAAAAGCGTAACTGAATTTTTTTTATTAATTTAGATATGAAAATAAAAATCATTTATCCTCTTTAGGGACGTTTTAGAAAGCGTTGCTAAAGCTTTTGACTAGACTTTTAGAGACGATTTTCATAAAAAGCGTCTCTAAAAGCATTAAAGATGGTTTCTATGGTGAATAATTTGGTTCCAAATCCTTACTCCAATGGTTACATCTTAATCCATATCATCACGATCAGCCTAAATATCAAAACAAAACCAAATATCCCATCATCAAATCACTAAAAGTTGTTAGCCTAAAAATGTAGAGGCCTGAATCAAAAGGCAAATACAACAGGCCAAAAGTTGCTTTTACATTTTTATTGGCCCATATTTACAGCCCATACACTTGTTAGGGGTTAGTGATGGCCCAAGATCGATGATGATCGAGTAGTGATGGCCAAAAACCGGTCCTAAGTTTTTTCATGACCGGCCATAACCGGTTTCAGTCCCGGTCGAAAGTGATAAAACCGATCAAGGTTCTTCACAACCGGTCCTGCCCATTAAAAAATAATTTTTTTTTAATTTTTTTAATGATATGTATTTTTAATACATTATAAAATTTATAACTGGTTACTCAAATACACTTTAAAAATACGTTTTATTATAACTAAAAATATATTGTCTTTCAAAAATTTATCACAAATACATTTACTATACATACATTTCGGGCGGGTCGGACCGCTCCTTAACCGGTCCCGGTCCCACAAAACCGACAAAATTCATAACCGGATGTAATCAGCGGTCCCATAACCGGTCCTTACCGGTCTTGGTCCCGGTTCCGGTCCTCCGGAAGTCCCGGGCCGGTTTGGCCATCACTACGATCGAGACCGGAACGGTTAGTGTGTTGGTGATTTATATCACCAATATCATTTAAGTGTAATGAGATTAATTTATCGACCAATGTAATCTTGATAAATATTGAACAAGTAAGGGTGGTGCGGAGTGCACACTTGTTTGAGTTTATTTCAATTTAAAGTATACCGTCATTTAGGGGCTAAACGACGGGGATTCGGGGGCAAGCAGGTCGAGCTAACCTGGTCATTTTGATTTTCTAGGGTACAGAAAGATTCATAACAATATGGAGTTGAGTTCCCGATAGAAAACAATTTACCCGTTGTTACCGGAGGTTTGCATAAGTTAACATCATAACATACTGTAACATATTTGTGAAGATGTTAACTTATATGAAACTCTAGTAACAAAGTGGTTGCTACGTACTACGGTTCCCAGGAAAAAATTAAACTTTCCTAGAAGATCTTGATTCTACAGTATGATGTTTACTGATTTTAGTTTGTTATTATCTTATTTTCATTCAAAACGTTACCTCTTCGAAGCCTATCACATTTGGTATCGGGTTATGATTTAATCTTATTCCGACAACTTATTTTCTAATCCAATGTTAGCATCGAGACCAAAAACCACTTACCACAACTGTAACTACTTACCAATCACTACAACAAAATTGAGTTTATAGAACGTTTTTGGACGTTGCAACAAGTATCCTAGGACCATTTTTAAATAAAAACGTCATATTAACTATTTTATTAGAAGTATCCTATAAACACAAGTGTCTTATAAAAATATGGGTTATATGACACTTCTCAAAAGTGTTATATAAAATAGCTAATGCGACGTTTTATTTTAAAATGGTCCTAAAAAACTTGTTAAGATGTCAAAAACCGTCTTATAAACATATTGTAACATTTTTAGACAGAACAATTTATTATAAGAGTCTGTATTAGTCAATTTTATTGTAGTGAATGTTGATTCCAATCCCACTAATCAATTCAAAAGGCACTGATATATAAGCATAAACCATTTTGAAGACGTAAACACATACAGGTGCCGATGTAAACATAAATGTCTCTTAAATACCAATGTGAACCAGAGAGGAACATAATGCCCATGTAAACTAAAGTTCTTGCCACCTGTCACTTCGTTAGTTTTCTCTTACGTAATTAACAGGGTTTGTTTTAGGGTTTTTGTTCAAGGTTGATGACCATCTTAATTTCATTTGCATCATGCATTAATTATAAATACGAATGTTCCAAAAGCCTTCAACCTTTCGTATTTTATTTTCTTTGTGTTTACGTTAAAAAGCAAATGCGCTACGACTCAACTCGTAGTTTGTTCTTTTGGTGATGTGTAATACAGTTTCAAAAAAATTTCATCTTTATGTTACCAACTTTGATCGATACTCTACTGATACTGTAAGTTGTAATATTTTATTATCGTATTTCTTCAAAATATAAAATTTAAACGTATTAAATCATTTGAGAAAGAAATAAAAAAAATGGAACTAAATTTTGATTCGTTTTGTGCCAAAGGAAACTTATTATAAAGGTTAAATAGGTGTTGTTGAAAGACAAAAAGCAAAAGCTGGAATAGCTCAGTTGGTTAGAGCGTGTGGCTGTTAACCACAAGGTCGGAGGTTCAAGCCCTCCTTCTAGCGTTTTTCTTGATTTATCTTCCTAATTTCTAATTTTATATTATTTTCGACCTAAAATTCTTATATATATATAGGGGCCTATTCAAGGGAAAACTGAGTTGTTTGTGGTAACTGTGAGAACCAATATTAACCACAAATCAATAGATAAATTAGAAAATTTATAATTTTGGCAATTTTAAATTAAAATCTTAATGTTTTTGGTATTTTAAAACTCTCATCTCTCCGGCCACCGTCCTCCGACCACCGTTCGCCACCGGAGGACGGTGGCCGGCGAACGGTGGTCGGAGGAGGGTGGCCGGAGAGATGAGAGTTTTAAAATACCAAAAATATTAAGATTTTAATTTAAAATTGCCAAATTTATAAATTTTCTAATTTATCTATTGATTTGTGGTTAATATTGGTTCTCACAGTTACCACAAACTAATTAGTTCTTATTTGATTAGGCCCATATATATATATATATATAGAGAGAGAGAGAGAGAGAGAAAGAGAGAGAAGCGATCAAATGAAAATCACTCCAATTTGTAAAAACCGTAAAAATTACTCTCATTCGTCGATTTCATTGTTTAATCTTATGAAATTGTTTCATATAATACTTTTTTTGATGAAATTGTTTTATATATGGTTATGAAATTGTTTCATATACTACTTAATGAAATTGTTTCATGTATTTCTCTAAAATTGATGAAATTGTTTCATGTATTTCTCTAAAATTGATGAAATTGTTTCATGTATTTCTCAAAAATTAAAATAATGAAGATGATAATATCCATGATTAACATCATCCAGAATAAAAATGATTAATCAACCTCTCATAATTACAAAAAAATGAACAAAATGAAAAATTATGATTAGTTGAATGAAGTTTGTACGGTTTGTACAAGTTATGTGGTTTTTATTTGAACACTCCCCTATATATATATATAGATGATGCAATAATATTTTTCTCCTAAAATAACATGTTTCATTAGTTATTTAACGATAATTATATTTTTATTTCTCTTATTTAACTTATTTTATTGAATTTTAATTATTAATATAAATGATTTAGAACATAACGAAATTAATATCAAGATCATAATGAAATTAATGTAGATGATAATTTGAGTCGCATTTTTAATGATATATTTGATCTTGATAGATGGATAACTATTTTAACAGATTTACAAGTAGAGAATTGGCAAATTAAGTTTTCCAGAACATCATTATTCTTGACATTTTTCATAATTTGTTACATTAGAAAAAAAAATATCAAAATGATTGTTGGTATATTTCTTTAGATATTTATACTTAACTAGAAGGGTACTTGCACAATGCAACGAGATACAACTCGATTTTAATGTTTCGTTTTATTCTATCTTCATCGATGTTATAATACGATTTTATGCGGTGCTGGAAAAACGATAATGTTTTTATTTATTAAATAAAAAATAAATTTGAAGATAGCATAAAATTTTGAAAAAAAAAGTGTATCGACTTTAGCATCAAATCATATGTATACCCATCTCTAAATTTGTTGAAATCAAAAGATATCAGAATATGAATGAAAGTTAGCGACTCATAAGGATATGGATGAATGTTAGCTCTTGATGGAAGATTGAGGTTATCTAAACCCCGCTTAAGTGTTTCAATAAGTTGTACACAAGCATTGAGAAATTGTAAATTTAAAAATTAAGTAATTAGCATTATATAGTAGTACATAATGTTTAAAAGATTGTTCTTAATAGTTTTTGCCAAATGCTTTATAATATAGCAAGTATAGATAGGTGAAATATGTGGAACACGTCTGATTTGGCTCAACTTCAAAGAGAAACACTATAATAAATTACTAAACTACCCACATAAAATTTAAACCTTATAACCCGTTTACCAAAGGCAACCCTCAAAGTGTCTAAACTTAAAATCAGGTTTAAAATTATAAAACTAATTTTGGTTTCTTAAAAACCTAAAACACAAACTTTTTCTTTTTAGAAAAATATAAAAACAATCAATAAGTGCAGTAGCAGTAGCAGTAGCGGTAGCAGTGTACAACCCCTGGGGTCAGTGATTGGTTGGTTCATCAGCTGAAAACTTGAACCCACCAGCAGGAGGCAAGCCTAAATCAGCTCCAAAATTCCAATTCTTAAAAACATGACTAACAAACCAACCTTATATACATACAGATGGTCTTCAAAAAGAACAACTTTACCTTGTATTCTTTCTTTCTAATCAGGCAAAGCAGTTCCTCTCTCAAGATTGTTCTTAATCTCCAATGTGTATCGACCGAAAGCCCGTTCGATCTTCTTATTGAAATGCTCGTTACGGTCGTTGATCGAGTCAATGTCCTTCTCTTCGTGAAACCTTCTTCTCCTACTAAACGTATTCCGTTTCTCATCTCTGTCCTTCAGCTCCTTCACCATCTTTTCAATCTTATCCTCCGAAATCTTTGGTGCCTGTGTTTGAAATTCAAACCACAATCACTTATTTCACCCCAAAATCTATATCTTTAATTAAACACATCACTTGGGTGTATATATAGCTTACTTTCCCATATTGCAAACTTGAAGCTTCTCGGTAGAACTCTGGATCCGCTTCCTTCATTTTATTGTATTCTTCAAGATCAACATCAATGTTTTTCGTCCTTTTCTTGTATGCATCATACAACGTTTTCTGATTAAAAACTGTTGGAAGAAAATAACAATGGACATCAGGTTTGTTACGTACAAGTATAAAGTGAAGTTGTTAGTGACGCATCAAATTGCACATGTAAAGCATCAAGATTCACAACAGATACCTAAAATACCCTTTGATAAAGACAAACTAAAAGAATTTTCATTGACCCAAGTCAACACCATAAATTTTAATCGTGATGCTGATAACGTAAGTAATAAAGTAAAGTGTATACCATCCCAACCGGCCGGAGCAGGTTCCTTCTCCCACTTTTTGTACTTTGTCTCAGCCATCTGCTGTGTATCCAACATGTATGCCTTTGTCATATCCAACCCATTAGCATCCAGAAGTTTGCCGATTTTTTTCTTCCTCTCCTCGATCCACTTTTGTTTAGAAATTCCTCTCGACTCTTGTGGAGCTTCCATTCTTTTCTTTTCTGCCACCATGGCAGTTTGATTGGCTTTCCTTGCCTCGTTCTACATATGAGGAAGTATAAGCTCAAACACTATCGCATATGTAATAGAAGACAAAAAGAATGATAAAAGAACATTATTACAACTTGAAACATACCATCTTTAGCCTTATTTCAAACAATTTCTTTTGCTTCCCTGTAAGCTTAGTGAAGTCCACTACCGGTTGATCCTCAGAGGCATTGTTGTCGTCACCACTTGGATGATCATCATGATCACTTTGTTCATCATCAGGATGTTCAGTTTGAACAGATGTCGCAGCTGAAGTCTGTTGAAAACTTCTAGTAGAAGCTTGCAAGCCAGCTGAGATTATATCAATTAGATAAGAAATGATAAGAACAATGAACCCAAAAACAGCAAATGGCAACCATTCATCAGCAATCACAGCGAGGAAAACAATACAGTGGACAAAAATGTAAACCAATCCACTCCAATTTTCCTTTTCTTCCTCTAAAAAACATACTAAATTTTACTTTGTATTTCCCCCAATTGATAAAACAACATGCACTACTGAATGTAACTTGTATTTAAGAAGAACTTGCCTTACTTTGCTTGGTAACAACTACATTGCAAGGTAAACGCACTAATTAAAAGTTGCAACTGAAATCTTTAATATTTTTCAAAATAAAGAATTTTGAAGGGAAAAAAAGAGACTTGGGCTTAACATGGAAGCATAGCAAAGCTACACTAGTGATAACTGATAAGTCATCCATTACAATGTTCACCACTTTGTATCTCTCCTTTCTTTGCCACAGACTACTTGCCTAAAGTTTCTAAAAGGGTTCATTAACCAAAAGAAATTTCCTGGCATACTTCATGAAGATTAAAAACAATTTTTTGCAGATAAGACCATCCAATCATATTCAAAAAGCAGCACAACTTAGTTTCATACTTCCATAGATGAGCAGGGATCACTTTAAGTCTGGAACTATTAGTCGAGAAGATCACATCACTTCCAACTTTTTGAAATGGTAGATAGAAACAAATATGGCTGTCGTAACAACGTCAAGGCCTTGATATAAAAAGAAATAGAGATTAAATAAAAGAGTACAAACACTGTTTTCATAGAATTCACAAATTAAAATATTTTGTGATTACTGATTAAACAACAACAAAGCCATTTCTTACATGACCTCATACATTTTAATGCTTAAAATTCCACAAAGCATTTTTGGCAGGCATGAACAAATACTAAAGTGGAACGGGAACACAAAACAATCAAGACATTGAGAAAAGATAGTATGAAGAAACCGATGATATGCTCATATTCAAGCTAAAATTCCTCCGTGAAACAAATGAAATAGATTTAAGCTAACCTGGTTCATTTTTACTAGCCAATTTCATGGCCTCAGCAATAACTTTGAAACAATATTCACTACATTCATGGTATGGGTTTGAAGAATTTCTGCAATCTGGATGTACTCCTCTTCCTTCAGTCACCATTCTGCCTGTGTTACTGCAAATATCAGGAAAGACCGAAAGAACAAAAACTTCAAAATGGGTATTTTCAGTTGTGAAAGGAGGATAAAGAAAGATTCTTTGAAGTTTCTTCACAACAAAGTTCATATTCCTTCTCTCTGCAATGCACTGACCATGAATAAAATAGGACACCAAAGCTATATCTATGCAACTATACCAAACATAAGAACAGTAACAAAGAAGAAAGTACACAAGAATTACGAGCCTTTGAAGATGCTCATAAACAGTCTGCAAGACTGCAATGCATAATAACTTATGCTACAACTAAGCAAATTACACCCTAATCGAGATATCCTGTCATAATCCACCAGTAAAAAAAAGCTGACAGCATTCCAGGCATCCACTCTAACAGACAACTCAAAACAAAACAAAATAGAAATTGCATAACATAAATAGACTGCGAGACAATCCAACTACCAGAAAGCAATCTATGTTTACTTGGATAACATGATAAAGTAAGATACCGTCCACTTCACCAATTCATCCGTTTGATCAGAATATAAATGATTTACTGACAAAGGTAGATTTGGAAAAGAAAAAAAAAAGATGTAGGCAAATAAGCTTAGAGCTACCTAGCTTCCTAGACACTTTATGCATGTTTATTATAACTTATTCTCCAAATTGCTTTCACCTTACATCTTAACTAGGTATTGCCAAATTGTAACTTGTAAGCATACAATTCTACATTAGTCGTGGATATATGGGCTTGGGTGAAACTCACCCTCAAACGCAGGTTCAAAGGAAGAGGGTGCCCATTTGCCCAAACCACATATATACATATACCAATATTGACAACCTGGCAATGTGGGACAAATACTACTTCAATACCCTCTCTCTCTCAAAATGTTGCAATTTGACGTTTAGAATAGTATATAGAGTTGGTTGGTGGGATTTCATGTTTCTTCATATGAATACAATTGTGGTCGTGCCTTTAAAGATTGGGTATTTGGGTACAACCAGGATGACATAACAGGGGTTAGAAGCTCTCTGTTGGGGGCGTGATTAGGTCTAACCAAAGGACATGGTCTAAAACTTGTCATTTATAGACGGGGATGTTTTATGCATTTATGCACGATTTAATCACTTATTAAAGCATCCTATAAAAGACGGGCTGATTAGCAAGAATCATGATCATTAACATAAAAGAAAACTGAGTTCTAGCTGTGAAACTTGAAGCCCAAGACTTAGATTAACACAATACAACAGCGGCAAAACAAATGAATAAGCGATGAAGCAAAACAAAATAACAGAAAACTTAAATTCAAACACAAGTACATCAACAAAACAGAAAGATCAACACGATGAAACGCTTAATTTCAGACTCAAATAATGAAATTGTTAAACCTAGATGAGAACTGAGAAGCCTGTGCTGTGAGAACTGAAAAAGTTAGGGTTTTCGTACGGTACCTCAAGGCTCCAATCGAGAAGCTGCGCAGCTGTTAAAAAGAGAGAATCGTGCGAGCAGAAGCAGCGAACGATCGAGGGTTTCTGAGAGCTCCGGACGCGATGCGGTTGAAAGAGAGAGGATCGAGTGATTTAGGTTTCACAAACAAATGTGATGCGTATCCGTGATTTCCCCAATTCCCCTAATTCTTTTTATTTTCATAAACATCCCTTGAAGCTTTTATAAATGTTCATTCAAGCCCCTATACTTTTTATATATACAATGGCAGACAACGAAAATCAATTTTTGAGCATTTCCAACCCGCATCAAATCCCATTTTTTTACAGCATTATATTTTTCGGTGTATCGTTTTATTATAAAAATTATATTTATATTGATTTATTATTTTAGTTTTATGTTTTAAATTAACCGGGTTTTGAAACCAAACTTCTCCTCAGAGTTGAGCCCTGGAATTTGAAGGCAAACTTAAAAAGCCACCTACAGACGCTTTGAACCAGAATATAAGAGTTTGTCTCACCCATGAGTAAATAATTCATAGTAGCCTCAAAAGAAGGGAGCTACGTCTGAGTTAAACATGGAAATTTCCCAAAAAGCTAATCGTAGGTTCCTCTCTCCATTGGAACAATAACACATCTTCACAGACCAAGAACTACGAGATCACGGTTTTGCTGCTACAGCGGGCTTTACGCAATCGAACACTTTTTTTGTGATACTTATGATGTAATTGGAGCTTATTGGCAATAAATTCGATTTATCTTACTTCTCCTGATTTTCCTGAAATTTCTGAATTACTCTTGTTGGGTAATGTTGGGAGTTATAGATTTTTATCTTGACCAATTCAAGGTGAAAAATGGGGTTGAATCCATACATCCCTTATGAGTATATGGACAACTATCTCTTGAACAGCTGCGCAGGAAAGGCCCAAAGTCAATCCCAAGGAACATAGGTCTTACATGTAAAGGGTCATGTACCCATGACTCAAAATTTCCTTGCAGCTGGGTCATCCTGGACTTGAACCAGAGATCTTGCCCGTAAAAGTAAATAATTTAAAACACAACAATATATTTAAAATAAAACAAATCATTGATATATATATAGAGAGAGAGGAGCGTTCAAATAAAAACATGTCCCATTTTTGTAAAACGTGTAAACCAATCTCATCCATTCATTTTCTTGATCAATGACCAAAATTAGTTTACTTTATTTTAGAAAATTAAAAAATATATATATTAAAAATTTATTTTATTTCAACAGTAAGAGCAAAAATGGTAAACAAAATTTAACATTTGGTAACATCTTTTTCGATATTAATGACACTATTTTCATTTTTTAAAGCAATATATTATTTTTAACTTTAAATCACATCCATCAATAAAACATATAAAAAAATGAATATAACATACCATATTCAATTATATGGAATGAATCGTTTTAAATTTTGAATTATATTATATGAACGAAATTGGTTTCACCATGAAAATGTTTCGGTTCACATAATTTATTTGCAACAAGACCCGGTTTCACRTTCATGAAACCTGTTTCATTTTCCTTTTCATAATTTATTTTCAAAATACACCGGTTTCATTTTCCTTTTCATCAACAAAATGGATCAACTACACCATCAATGCAACGGTTTCACCATAAAAATGTTTTGGTTCACCTAATTTATTTGCAACATGAACCGGTTTCACGTTCATAAAACTTGTTTCATTTTCCTTTTCATAATTTTTTTCAAAATGCACCGGTTTCATTTTGCTTCTCATAAAAAAAGGATTAACCACACCATCAATGCAACGTGTTCACCATAAAAATGTTTCGGTTCACCTAATTTCTTTGCAACATGAACCGGTTTCACGTTCATGAAACCTGTTTCATTTTGTGGATTTTTTTTTGTTCATCTACGTTTTGATGATTTCATTATATAATTCAATTGTTTTATCAAGACACATTTCCTGATTATAAATCATGACAATATATAAAATCCAAAATATTAATATTTTAATATAATTAAATATTTAAATATTACAAGTTATACAATTTCCTTTATTATGCTTCCTTAATTAAGATTTATTAATAATTTCCATATTTAATAGAAAATATTGTAAATGACCGAAATACCCTTATTGATTAAATTTAATTAGAAAAAAAGGAATTTTTCTATTGGTCGAAATTAATTTACACGGTTTCTTAGAAATGCACGGTTTTCATTTGAACGTGGCCCTATATATATATATATATTTATCATAATACTAAAAAATAAAAAAATGCATAACGGAAGAAAATATTGCATGGTAGTAATCTAATAATCATCTGACAAACAAGATCTAAATCCACCAAAATTATTAAAATAACTTACATACGATGATGATATAAACAACTAATAATATGAAGGTATAATTGAAAATCTCCATAAGTTAGAAATAAATGTTGAAATCCAAGGATGAATAAAAATCCTCTTGTGGCTACGGAGATTTTAATGCAGTGACTCCGGGCTATCTGCAAAGCAAGTGGTCGCCTTGAGATTAGTCGGCTCGCATAGCGGGTTGAATATCCAGGTTAATCAAAAAATATATATATGTTTGAAATATTCTATTTGATGTTGAAATTAATGTATTGTAGATGAATTATTGTTTACATCAAGTTTTTTTTATATATTTTTGATGAAAAAAAAATGATGCAAGCGATCAAAAATGGTCGAAGCACCTTTAAGAATACACTATGGCAGACCAACATAATGGTGTCACAAACCTACTCTTACTAAAAATCCACCCATGCATGTGGCCATATAGCAGGGACGGACCCATAGGAATGTACAGTGGCCCGTGCCACTGCTTTATTGTCCTGTCGTAGTATAAAAGATTTATGTTTTTGAATAGTGTCATCATAACGTTTTGTTGTGTATACCCATTTTAAACCTGAACTTGGGATATAAGTTTATGGTGATTGAGTTGGTTAACTCTGCTAGATTATAGTTTCATGTTTGAAATAGCACAGGCTCAAATCCAAGATTTATAAACGTTTCATTGTTATTCCAAGTACGCAAGTATTTACTAGGCTATGCAATTGTAACCAAATATGCAGTATACATCATTAAAACGCCTATGAATAAGATTGTCAGTATGTCATTAGATTGAAAATTCAATTATCATTGTATCCGCGGTTATTTAAGCAAATATTATCTACTATGTCATTTAAAATAAATATCATTCATATTCGATAAAATATTTGAATAGTCCGAATAAATATCAGTAGGATTTATGTGTCCACATATCATTTATCTCTTTCAAACTTTCGATATTTGTTAACCACTCAAGACTTTAGTTGATAGAAAAATCATTTGTTTTGATTGTAACTTATTGTTTTTATGTAGCTATATCGGTCATACTCAACTTTGAAAAAAAAAATAGTCTTTTTTTTGTATTTTAATTTGCTCGTAAATTTTCAGATAAATTGACGGATAACGAAATGAACAGTCAAATTCAGACTTTTGAATAACCGGAGATACAGATAGTATCAAAAAGTGAAATCATATTTATTAAATGACTAGAAACAGGTAGAGATATATCCAAATCCATTGATCATGTGTTTGGGTATGTATGTGGATGTCATATTTGAATGTCGGTCATGAAGTGAATACGAATTTGGATTTCCGATTGGTTTATTGAATGATTATACGGAATAAATGTATTCAATCTATTAACATCAATAACAATGGTAGGATGACTTTTTTTTCTTGATTAATCTGGATATCCAACCCGCTATGCGAGCCGATTAATCCCAGGGAGACCACCTGCTTTGCAGATAGCCCAGAGTCATCACATTTGAACCTCCGTGGCCACAAGAGGATTTTTATTCCTCTTTGGATTTGAACCTGAGACCTCCAGATACTTTTGATTTTTGGAGCCAAGCTAAAACCAATCAGGCATCACTCTTGTGGTTTGGTAGGATGAAATTTTTATTCACCTTCATTAAATAAAAATGATTATTAACTTGAACATGAATTATTTGTGTACTTTGTCGCGAGAAACACCGATCATATAGTTATGTTGGATCTATTGGGAATTATGATACTTTACATGTGCAACTTAATGTCATTTAGCAATTTCACTGTATACTCTCTATACAAGAAAGGAACCAAAAACATCGATGCTGACCTTGAAAGAATACAACAAAACAAAGGAAGAAGATCCATAATTCTATCGAGATGCTTCAAATCTGTAATGAGAAAGAAAACTATACCCAACTGAAATAATATGTTTAATCTTTTTTTTGAACAAATGAATAAGTTATATGAAAAATGAAATACGTCAGTCAATAGATAGGGGTATAGGTATACAAGCATACCCTCGGTTTTCTATACATGCTAACGAAAACTAGGCCATGATGACGCCCTCAGATATATGCAAAGCCAAAAATACATCCCTAGCAGTGTTTTGTCATGCCGACTGCATTGCTACTGTTGTTCGATGTCCTATCAAATCTTTCTTTAGCTTTCAACGGTTGATATCATAAGAAAAAAAATACACACAAGTCATTTCTGATATCAAAGAGTGTCCCTAAGCCAAAATGGAACGTACAGTTTAGATAAATTAAACATTGTTATCATTTTTATACATATACAAACAAAGACACTTTCAAAACGATAAATTGATCAAATTTATTTTCACAGTGAAAACAACGATATATATATATATATATATTATATTATATGACTATGAATTAACAAAGTATTTAAAATTTAAATAGTATTTTAAAATTCAAAAAGTAAATACTAGTTATTTTCTTGAAAAGTGGGAGGAGAGTACATGTGATGTTTGCAAATTGTCTAACCAAGAGGAGGTTATATGGTAATGGTTAATGGCTAATAATTAATGGACTTCACATGCCAAGGTATTTATTTTGTTCCATGCATATAAATGTTACCACAAAATCACATGATTTTTGGAAATAAGGGTGTATGTATTTATGTATCGAAGGTGGTCCTAAATATACATATTATATTTGCATCTATACCATAAAATTATTTAAATATATTTTTTAATTTAATTTTTATTTTTTATAATTACTTTCAGAAATGTTGTTATAAAGTTTGAACAGACTTAAAAAAAGAGGATCTTGAACAGAAAAACTCAGGCTAAAAGATATTAAGCAACGACATAAAAACATAAGTAGAATAACAATG